CTCCTCCTCAGTGACATTGCTACTGCAGCCTTCATCTCTCCGCTTTACTAGGAAGCTTTTCTCACTTGCACACCCCCAGTAGTATACAATCATTATTTCCCTTTAGTGCAAAATTCCTTGGAAGAATTAGCTTTACTCCCTGTCTTCACTTCCTATCCTCCAAGCTCTACTGAACCGCTTTAAATTACCCTCAGCACTCTTTTACAGCAGCTCTTGTCAAAGTCAACAGTGCCCTTCAAACTCCCAAATCAAATGACCACTTCTCAGTGAGCACGGTTTCTGAGCAGCTGTTGGAACAATTGATCTCTTGCTCCTTCGTGAAACACCTCCCTTGCTTGACTGCTGGGACACTGCTCTCTCTCAGCTCTCCTGCTATCTCACCCGATAGCCTGGTCTTTCTTAGTGTCACTTTCTGAATCATCTTCACCTGCCCAAGCTGTAAGCATGGGAATGCTCCCGGGCTCAGGTATTAGACTTCTGTTTTCCATCAGTGTTTATCTTTCCAGTTGATCTTATCAGATTCCATGGCTTTCATTATTAGCTATGCCATGATGAATCCACATTTTATACTTTTTAGCTCCAACTTAACAGATTTTACTTCTGAACCTGACCCATATACTGCCTTATATAGCCAACTCCACATTTTCCCCCTTGGATACTTAATAGGTATCAAACTTGGCAGATAGGAAACTAAACTCTTGTATTTTCCCCCGTGATTTATTCCTTCCACAATCTCCACAACAGCCAATGACAGCTCCTTTTGATTAGTTATTCAGTCCTCAAAGCTTGGGTCATCCATGGCTCCTCTTTCCCTGACATACCATACCCAGTCCTCAGCAAATCCTGTCAATCCTATTTTCCAGTATATAGCCTGAGCCTAATCCCTTTTTGTCACTGTGTCACTGCTCCCACGCTGTTTCAAGCGTCCATTAAATCCCATGAAGACTTTGCAATAACCTCTTACACAGTCTTCCTAGAACCATTCTTGCTCCATTGAGCCTCATTTCCATAAAACCTAAGTCAGATCACATTCTGGTCTCAAAATGCCCCCAGTAGCTTATTGTTTAAGTATGACGTTCTCAGTGCCCTACATGACCTGGCTCTACCCTCCCTCTCCCAGTACTCGGACCGTTGCCCAGTCTGCTCCAGCCACACTCCCTTTCTTGCTCTTCCTTAACTCCACCAAGTAAGATCCACCTCGGAGCCTTGGAATGGATAGCTCTTTCTGTCAGAGACACTCTTTTCTCAGCTGAGCCAGGGGTGCTTCTTCATTTTATTTAGCTCTCTGTTTCAATTTCACGTGTTTAGAAAGGCTTTTCTCTGACCACCTCTGCTCTTTATCTCTTATCCTGTTTTATTTTTACGCTTTACATCACTTATCAATACGACACAGTTTACATTTATTTGTTCATTGTCCGATGCCTTCCCCGAGCAGGCTTAGAAAGTAAGATCCAGGCGGGCAACAACTTGATTCGTTCTGTTCAATACCCTTTACTCCAGAACACAAAAATACCTGGAACATGGTAGGTGCTAAATAAATATTTGAATATATTAATAAATAAATGAGTATTGAGCTCAGTTTTGGATGATAAATAAGAAAGTCTCATATCTGGGAACCTTGGGTTCACCTGAAAAACAAAAAAAAAAGCGTCATCTGCATGTGTCCAGTGGCGTCAGGCTGACTAAGGTAAGGTTCCTGGCCCTTGAAACAATTTCAGGATGGACAGCAAAAATAATAGTGAACCAAGGCACTAATGTCCCTGGCAACTGTCCACAAAAGATCAGCAAGATGCAGCAGGAGCCAGCTTGGCGTCTGTGTGTGATATTAGCCCATATTTCTCCTTCCAGAAAGAGGAAACACATCCACATAAAGCAAATGAGGTGAAAAAAAAAAAGCTGACAATGAGTTATAAATTAAATTAGTGGCCTTCTCATCAGTTTATGCTTGTATAGAGAAAGGACGTTAGGATGGAGATAAAAGAGGTCATTTTAGGCTTTTTTTTAAAAAAGTGTTTTAAGTTTGGATTTCTCTCTCTGAAATCTTTTCTAGAGAGAACGTATACCTATGGTCATCTTCTTTTCTAAGCCTAAATCTGGAGTGTGGAACTTGACAAACATACCTTTGCTGTAGGAACGCCAGGCTAAAACATAAAAATTGGTACAGGCGTAAAAAAAGGCAGGATACAGAAGTTCAGTGTGCACGCCTCCGAAATGACATTGGGGATTTTAAATGGATGAGTGGTCAGAAAAAAGAACAATCAGACGCAGCATAAAAGGAAGATAGATGGCCAAAATAGGATGGTGGAAAGCATAACACCTCAGCAACAGACCCAGCTTCAGGGATCAGTTCTAATGAGGATGAACGGTTTGAGTCTTGCAGCATAATGGAGTGAATATTCACTCCCTTATAGAAATCCTTGCAGGAAGATAGGAAGAGAAAGAAGTTTACAAAAAGAGCTGGGCTTCTCTCCCTTACAGCCGACGAAAATTGGATTATGCAGTTTTGACACCATGTAAACGAATTCATCAAAGGACTAGTTTTAACCAATGCTGTGGGTACCACCAGAAGATGAATATCTGCCCGACTCAACTTCCTGATGCTCAGTATTGCATTCATCTCACCGCCGTCACAGAGATGTGCTCTGTGTGTCTGAGGCTCTGCACGCAAGGCTGTGATTTTTCATTCTAAGGCAATCTCTCTCTCTCTCTCTCTCACCACACACACACACACACACACACAGTCAACAAAGGAGAAATAGAGATTAGAAGGTTGAGGATAATACAAACTTTAAAGGGTTTTATAAAGGAATGATCAAATTCTAACTTTGGTTGAGGGATGAAATGAATAACATGGGAGGATCTTCAAAATTGAAGACTGAGGAGTCCAGATCCTTCATATAATAGATGAAGAACTGGGACAAAGCGACTCTAAATAACTCGCCCAACGAAACATACAAAAGTGGAAAAGCTGGGGCGAAACCCAAGATGCCCCCATCCTGTGACCTGTCCCTTCCTGCCATTTCAGTCTTGATATCTTTACGATTAGGATCATTTTACAAACAAAATGAAACACAACAAAACCAGCTCCCCCTTGATGGAGCACATATCTTAAGTAAGTTTATATGTATGGGTCTACTGGTGTTGTATTTTCAGAACATAGCAGAAGAGTTCCTTTCAGAATATTTTATGAACCTGAACTGCAGGAATACTGAAAAGCAACCATCTACCAGGCTTTGGGAGTCAGCACTGCCCGTGTCCAGGGCTGATTTATGATTGAAAAGGTGACCAAGAGAGGAGAAAAGTGTAAAAAGTGTTATGTTTTAGGGTCTGGACATTTTCCTCACTGTGGCATTCAGTGTTATTTTTATTTTTAAGGAATGAAAATACCACTGTGATCTCACATCTGAGCCTATGATACAACTCAGCATCACTGGAGACAAGTTTTCTCCTTACGTGTATGGAATCTGTAATTCTATATGCTATAGAACTTTCCTGGTCAACTTTTCCACCACCTAATTAGGTTGCCACCAGTTTTACTACAAGTCCTCGTGGCTCTAACGTGTCTAATTTGTCCATTCATCTTTGTGAATTACGCTGTATGATTCTTATTATTATTTTAAATCAAGAGACAGCCCCTAAAATATAACAAGTATAAATGGTTCAAATCTAGGCCCATCATCATTGGTGAAAAAAAAATTTCATACAGTTCTTTAGTAACTAGAAAAACTCTTTCTGTTCACAAGATGAACATACATTTAAAGTTCTTTTGGAAATGGAAAAACTCTTTTTGTTCACAAGATGAACATGCATTTAAAGGTGATATGCAGAATGCAAGGAAGACTTTCAATTTTTTGAAGTCAGGGTCTGTTTTCTGTTCATCACTGAGTCCGCTGCACTTCACACACCAGGTTAATGACTAAAACTTGGTGATACTTATTGAGTGCTTACTCTGGACTGTTAGTTTTAGGTACATTCTATTATGTGCAAAAGCCAATTCTTTGACTAACTTCTTATCCTCATGATTATTATCATCATCCCATTATTAGCCTCATTTGATACAAGAGGAAACTGAGGCTTATACCGAGATGAACTAACAGGGCCACAAGGAAGATGGGTTTCCAGATAAATCCACTTTGCAGGGTGGCTTGCAGGAGTGTTTGTTTAGGTCAAAAGGAAAAGGGCCCAGATCACCCTGAAGACTTTCTGACCACATGTCTACGTCTTCTTTTACTTAACAATAAAACTGTAAGTTAGGGCTGATGTTAACCTGGGGAGCGAAAAGCAATTCTCTGATAGCTGAAGACTCTCCTGTGTATGTCAGTTTACCACCTCGAGGCCATTTTTACAGCTTAACCTCCAAATCGCTGCAGGTAGGGAGCTGTATCACATCTGACAGAGCTCTTTGGTGGTACCACAAATATCACCATTATCCTCTCTTTTCTGATAAGGTCCATCAATCTTGTTACTGAACTCACTTTTCTTCCCAGACCTGATCTTTTTCGCAAACACACACACGGCCTCACAGACCATTTTCCAGACCATTTATGTACATTTGGGGAAAAAACGTACAAGAAAGGGTAATCTTGACGAAAGAGACTCATGAATTAAATTCACCTGAGATAGAAAAACTAGAGGAAACATCTCTAAGTGGCTGCAGGAAATGCTTAGTTTGAATGAGGTGGGGAAATGGTGTATATCCTCTGTGAAAACTTTGAAATGAATTAATAATCAAAGCTTAAAGAAGAGGTTCTTTGAGATCAGAACATATCGGTGGTTCTCAGAATTTTCATCCCATGATATCCACTCTTCGCCACCATCAACTTGAGGATGCAGCACGAATATGAACCACGTTTTGTGTGAAGCAGGTTTTGAATTTCCCTAACCCCGTAATTTTCAACCTGCAATTTTTGAGGAAGCTGAGTAGAGAATTGCAATCATGTGACATTTGACAGCACTGAAGTCCCTGGTGCTAATGGGAAGACGGGTTGGTCAGCCTATAATTTACTGAAAAAGACGTAATCAGGTGAAACAGACACCACCCCAAGTAAATGTCACAGCATCCCACAGGCACACCAACGCAAAATTAAAACAGACTCCCACCTGAGAATTCAAGAAATGTACTACCTTGCCCCAAACCGGTAAGAATCCGATTACCACAAGGATGGATAGTTACCCATGGCGAAGAACGGGATTCCCAGCAGGGTGGAGTTGTACTTTCCGTCGGTGATGAAGAAGACCCCAGCTGCAGTGATGATAGAGATGCACACGGTGAGCACCCCCAGGAGGCCCAGGAAGGGCTTGCCCCGCAGACAGTCCTTCATGGAGCTGGAGAGGGTGGCCGTGGTCAGGATCAGCACGAGGCTCACCAGGACCTTGCTCCTGGCCAGGATGCTGGTCTTGTGAAAGTCTCTCCAGAGGCTGAAGGATGCTAAGGAGTAGAGCTGGAGGCCCCGGTGCTCCTCCTGGAGCCTCTGCATGAGCTTGCAGAACTCATTCTCCCACTTCTCCCCCAGGAGGTCCTGGGGGGCAGAGCCGTAGGTCTGGAGGTAGTAGGTGATTTGAATGGCTCTGGCTGACTTGACCCGCTGGTCCTTGCTGTTTGGCACCTCCACTACCCCGCCCAGCTGGTGTCCAATAAAACTGCTCCTCCCATCCTTGAAAACAGAAAAAAGGGGAGACCTAAGTTACCAGAGGGAGGCACACTCCAGGGAACAGAGTCTTACCCTACGTGAAGGAGCGCAAAAGGCAAATGGGTAGGCTCTAGCGATTGTGGAACTGATGTGGGTGGAGCAGCAGGTTAGGAATTCATATCCCAACTTTTGGGGGCTACATGGGACACCATGCAAGGTGAAGGGGATCAGAGAAGGTGCACAGGGCATCATGAACTTATACAAGACTGGCCACATGCAAAGGGAAATGTACATGAACATTATTTGCATCTCATCCACACCTTCACTCTCACCCTTTCCTTCTATGACAACTCCTTTATGTGGGATCAAGTTTAAGCATTCAGTTTCAGCCAGAAGCGAAGCCTGGCATGAGTTAACAACTTTTCAAAAATTAAAAGGATGATATATGTAAAGAAAGATGCTAAACTTACTAGGGTTAACACACACTCACAGTAACATGCATGTGAAACACACACGAAATGTTACAAACATCCATACTCCTTTATATTCTGGGGGGTGCAGCTGTGTATTGCAGAACAAATAGAAGAAAATCCTGTTTTTCACACATAATTTAATAGGGTTGAAATGTTTTCTAAATATAATGTGAGCACCTGTTCCCTCATTACAACATTCCTTTATTTTTTTTTCTATTTTATTCAGAGGTGGTAATTAGGTTTATTTATCTATTTATTTAGTGGAGGTACTGGGGATTGAACCCAGGGCTTCATGCATGTGAAGCATGCACTCTACCACTGAGCTATACCCTCCCCCCACGTTCCCTTTAAGTAACTGCCTCAGTCGTAGGTTGGCCAGAAAAACACACTGGACAACACCCCAACATGAGACTGATAAGACCTCAGGTGGGGTTGTCGAAAATCATCTCGTTTTCAAGATTATACACGAAGTAGAGTAGACAAGATCATAAGAGGAGGGTATGTATCAGAGAGGTGATCGCTCATCTTTAAGGAACACAAAGGTGGACACTGCGTTGTGGCAACAGGTTCAGAGCAGTACTTCTCAACCCGTGTTCCTGACACTCAGAAAGAGATCGCTGACAGTGGTCGCCAAATTGTAATCAATTTGGATGTATCTCATTCGCTGCGACTGTCGTGTACTTCAGTGGCAATGGCTGTCAGATGGAATGTCAAACCCAGTAGCAGGTTGCGAGATGGAGAACAGTTCTGAAAGTGTGTGTCAGGTCCTGGAAGAGACACAGGCACAAAGGAAAACTTATGCCGTGAACAGGTGGTGTGTCTGCTGCATCAGGCAAGAATTCTGTCTTGTGAGGATGTGAAAGTGAAGAGTCAGAACAGGAAGCAGTTCTTTCTAGGATGGCAGTACAGGGGGGTAACAAACCCAACAGTGTGGGAACCACGGTTGTTTTCACAGAGCTGTGAGGCACTGGACACTCAAGAGACATGTGTAACAAGTGCTGTGGACTTGCTGAGACCAGACACCTGCATCTGAGGCACCTGTTTTGTGTTTGCTCCAAAGCCACCCTCATCCCTGAGAGTGTGCTGAAACGCAAAACGTTCGAGAAGTGCACAGAGAGAACAAACACTGTAGGTAGGAGTATCAAGAATTGCAAGAGACAACTTTTGGAGTCACTCTGTGGACCCATTTCCCCCCGCATGTTAAATAAAAACGATCTTTCTATTTAACTCAACCTGACCAACTCTCAATGAAAAACGTATTTCTAAATAAGAACGTACTTTGAGGGCTGTTTTCCCCTTGGCTTGGTATATCTCCCACTTTCCACAGCATCTTTGTAATTTTCCCATCTTTTTTTTTTTCCATATAAAAATCAAACTGAAATTCTGGCCGTAGATTCCCAAGGCTCTCTTTAAAGTAAACTCTATGGGGTCCTCTGGTGAGATGCAGATGGAAAGGGAGGGCAGCTCTGGGGAAAGAGGAGGAAATCCTGCCCCAGCATGCTACCCTGGTTTCTACTTCTTTGAAATCCTATCTGTGACACTGACCTGTGCTTTGAATGATTGGAAAAAGAAAGTATTTCAGAAGCTTTATTTGTTCACCTAAGAAGGAACAGTTCCATCTGTCTTTACTCATTTCTGTCATCAAAAAGACTTCTCAGGGATCCGCTTTAGCAGCGGAACGAAGATTTATGCATCCCTCAGGCCTCATTTGGAGATTATAGTGGATCAAAGAGGGTGCTGATAATGTGCCTGGACAAAAGTCAAAATTTAAAAAAGGCAAAGTGTAGATTTTTAAGTAGCTGATCTATATTAGGTTTGGCTAGCTGCTCTCATCCCTTTTGAAATTGTCTAATTTCCACTTTTTACAAAAATTACTTCATAAAAGATATGCTTTCATCTCATTATATTTAAATGAATGTAACAAATAGGATGAATTTCTCTCTCTTGATCTACCCTACAGCACGCAGCAAGACAAAACAAACAAGGTCTTCGGACACCCTTAAATCCAAAGCTCTACTGAACGGTCTGCACCTTGTACAAACCATCGGCCCAGTTACCCTACTCACTATCACCCTGAGAAAGACACTTTTATACATTATTTATGAGAGCTAGTTCTACTGTTTTGTAAGGGGCGGTAGTTTCCCAAACAAATCAATTTATAGGTGCTTCTGTGTCAGAGAAACAATGAATATAACATATACTGCAATTATCCAACTGGCCCTGGATCTGCCAGAAGTCAGGTGGGAATAATGGAGCGGACACTTAATCATGTGACCCGGAGTCATGCGACCTGGGCTGCAGTGTGCATCTCAGGCCAGTTGGATAAGAAGCCGTTGGCTGGTTGATTTCCCCTTCTAAGTTTCATTTTTCTCATCTATAAAATGAGTGACACGAGCATATGAGTAAAAATGTTTACACGCTATTGAAGAAATTTTTCAGCTCTGTCACTCCGTGAATTGCACTGACATCACCAGCTTACAATGAATTTAAGTCCCATTTAACCCATATCCCTAGGTCCACTTCCGCTCTTCCTCAGTCTGTTCTACACATTGAAGCCCAGGCCTGCTTGGACAGTTCTCAGTGAGGCCACATCATTGCTGCTGGTCTAGCCCTCAGACCTCGTTCCCTGAACTCTGCTCCAGCTGTTCGGGCCTCTCTTCCTACTCCTGGAATGCACTGATTTTCCCCTCATGGCTTTGGCACCTGCTGACCCTTTGTCTGGTCCTCTATGGCCAGGGCCACTTCCTCACCGAGGTCTCAGCTTCAAAGTGACCCTTTGAACCACAAGCTCTAAAGTGATCACCTCCTTCTTAGCAGTCACTCTTTTACTTAGCCCTGTTTTATCTTCTTCCTACTAACTATTTCTATGTGAAATAAGCTTATTTAATGATTTAACTCCTCCTTTCCCGTCTCCTCCATGACAACATGTTCTTGCTGAGAGCTGGCACCTTTCCTATCTTGCTCGCTGGTCACTTCCCTGGGCCTAGAACAAAGCCTGGTATATATGAAACACTCCATAATATCTGACTCAGTGAATTCATCCTGAGGTATATTTCACTGCTCAAAGGTTATTTTTTAGCAGCGACTTCACTAAGAACAGGAAAATGTAAAAGATTTTTACCAAGTGTCTGAGGACAAGAGGAACTCAGATGAAGAGAGGTGTGTATAGAAATGAGAGGCTGGTAGAGAAAAAGTAAACTTTATCCTTTTTAAGATTTCTTTTATCTAGCCTACTTTCACTGTGCACCAAGCATTTTCAGTAAGCTAGTGAACAGAGGGGGAGGACTTGGTACCTGGGGAAAGGATTTGCATGCATCACGGCCTGGAGGCAAAGAATAGCACGTGAAGGTCAAGAAACTGAAGGACGTGATGGGACTGAGGCTGGAGAAGGAAGCGGGGCCTCTTCTGTAAGGGCCATGAAAGGTTTAAGTCTAGTAAGGAGCTGTTAACTGTCCTGTAACAGGAAACCACTGGGGAGTGTTAAGCAGGGGACTGGTATTTGATTTACTCTGCGGAGTGCTCTCTCCTTGCACTGTGGCAAATGATTTAGGGAGTCGGGGTGACTCTAAAGGAAGGAGGTCAGTTAGGAAGTCCCTGCAGTATTTCGGGTTCTTGATGCAGCATGAAAAAGTGTCATCCCAGGCCACCTCTGGAAGGTAAACTGTGCCACGGTGAAATCAATAGAATTACAGGTCACATCGCTGTCTCACGGCCAGGAAGGCACCTTATCACGTTATCGCTCCAGGAGCAGTAATGCCAGAAAAGTAAGATCTGGTGTTCTTTCGGTCTTACTAGGTTTACTACTTTGTAGCTCTTAAAGTTACACCCACCCCATCCACACCTCCACAGTGGAAGAGGAAATTAAACTCACAGACACAAGATCAAAGGACAAATTCTCCAAGAGAGAGGAGAGGAAAGAAACATTGAACTATTGTCATAAACTATTGTGCAGAGAACAAAAATGACTCAGTGATGCTTTGAAATTATAGAGAAGTTTGTGTCATATCTGTTCATACAAGCACGAGGTGGACATGAGGATGCTTTCTGTGACTGCAAGATACTTTGGCAGCACAGCTCCCATTCAGCTGTCACTCTGTGTCTCATGAGTTTCGATGAGGTGGACACAGCAAGGATATTGGAAAGCTTTAGCTGGTCAGTTGACCTTTACTGCTGGAAGGAAAATCTCCCCATGTACGGTAGGTAGGGACGTTTCTAAAGGAAAGGTACAATTTGTGGTGGTGGTTTGTTTAAATAAGATTTTTTTAAATCATGTTTATTTCCTAACATCTCTCTTTGTTTTATTCTCAACACTGGATATACACACAACATAGGATTAAATAAAACCATCAGCTATCTTGAATTTCCTCTTTAGAGCTTCACTTTAGCAAAAACGAGCAAACGACAAGAAAGCAAGTTCCTACAAGGTCATTAGTTTGAAAAAAGAACCAAAAGTCATTTTCCAAATGAAGACTTTAAAGCATTAAAGTGCGTTAATAAAGAATAAATCATATTTCTCAGGTCCTATTACTAAGCTAGAACAGTGCAGTGGTG